TTTTGAAGCTACAACACGATCAGCACTCTTTTTTTTATATATATGTATAATATGTATATACGACGTTCTCGCACTAACAGTTCCCATTTCGACTATGTATACGGTTTTTTTTTTGTTTTGTATATGTATAAGTTGTATTTATATATCTATTTATTTATATATTTATAACACTTCTTCTCTTGCATTGTCCCTATTATATCGCTCGTGTCGTGTCCCTTTTTTTCTCTTATTTATTCTCTTGTAAGGCTATATTCAAAATCGTAACGACAAAAAACGTGGATTGGATTATTATCGATTGGCCACGATTTGACGCTTTGTGGATTTTTTTTCAATTATGAACTATTTTTTTTTGTCTTTAGAACACTAGCGGCATAGAGCCGAGCTACTTATGAACTAACATTGTACCTCCGTTTGATAAGCGTCTCGGGGGAAAAATATCAAAAATTACTGCCGGCGCATCTAGGACTTCTTTTTCAGATAAAAAATATTCAGCTCTCTTTTTATTTTTTTGTTTCTTTTTCTCCAATGACGATTCGTAAGGTATTTTCTTTAGATAAATTTTCATTTTTTTAATTGGCAATAGAATTAGATTCTTTTTTTTAAATAGATTTTCTTGCGCTAAACAATTAAACATGAGGTACTTGTTTTTATTTTTTTCTTTTCTCAAAATATTGATAATTGGTTTTTTTTTTATTTTAATTGCACTTTTAATTGCACCTCAGAAAATTCTTTCAGCGATTAGTCGAGGTTTTAGATTAATTATCCTCGCCTGTAGATAAAATATTATCTTTGCAAATTTTTTATTAATTCGTTCATTTGTTTAGTTAATTTTCTTTTTGTTTTTTGCAAATTTTCTTTTCTTTTCTTCAATTGAAATTAATTTTCTCTGCATTGAGAATTGAAAAATTTAACTATTTCTTCAATTTAAATTAATTTTTTCTTATTCAAAAATCAAACTATTTTAATTTTTCCTTCATTGGAAATTAAAGAAATTGAACTAGTTTTACAGATTTAAATTAATTTTTCCGTGATTGAAAATTAAAAACGTGAAATATTTTTTAATTTTCAATAAATTATAAATTTTTAACTTCTATTTGTTACGAAAAATAAATTTAAAAAAAATTATCAAATTACTTAATTGTTAATTTTATTTTTTTTTAAGGAATAACTTTGAAATAATAAATTAAAGTATCATGATTTTTGAACTTTATAAATCATTATTTTGAAATACTAAAATACGAGTATTTTGCGAAAAATATTTTACACTTTGCCTCAAATTTTACTTCACTTTGAAAGGACGATTTTGCTTTTCTTTTGAATTAGATTATCTCGAAAATACTCTTTTGAAGCATTGCTTCCAAAGTTGAAACAATTTTTCTTTTATTTTTTCCATTTCTTATAATTATAAATATTATCTTTAACTTTTTATCTTTTTTTATCAGCCTTAATCGAATCGTCATGCAGAATATTGTTATTAATAAAGCTTTAAAAGTTGTTAACAAGAGACTCTTAAGAACTACATTTGTGTATGAACCGGTTGTTTTTTTTTCTCTTTTTTTTCTTGGAATAAATTTTACGATTTTTTCCGATCCACGTTTTTTATTTAAATAAGGACTTTTTTTGATCTTTCGGGTATTTTTTGATTTTAAATTAGCAGGGAACTTATGTTTTGATTACGCTTAAAAGGACAACTTAATGTGTCCTTTTGATTAAAAGTTAAAAGACGTTCCCTTTCTCGCACGTTTCATTCATGATTCGTTTTTATTTTTTTTCTATTAACCAAATTTTACTAATTTTCATTTCATCATTTCTCCTGTTCTTTTTAATCTTTTTCTAATTTCTACTTTTCCCTTTTCCTTCACTAGTTTTTCATTTCTTCTGCCTTTACTAAGTTTTCTTTAACCTTTTTTTTATTTCTAACTTTTCTTTTTTCTATTCTTTAGTGATTTTTCTTTTCATTTCCTCGTCCCTAATTTTTCTTTATCTTTCTTATTCTTGTCACTAATTTTTAACCATTTCTATTTTCTGTCCTTTAATTTGAGATTTTCCTACTTTTTTTGTCCCTAATTTTCCATAATCTTTCTCTTTTCCTTTTCTCAATTTTCACAAAACTTTACATTTTTTTACTCTTCTCTTTCTTGTCCCTAATTTTTATCTACACTCATTTTTCTATATCTTTTCCTTTTTTGTCTCAAATTACAATTTTCCCCTTTTTTTTCTTGTCCCCAGTTTTTCATTACATTCCTTTCTCTATTTCTTGTTTTTGTTTCTGTTCGTTTTCCTAATTTTTTTCTCTTTCTATTTTTTTCCTAAATTTTTGCCTCTTTCTATTTCTTTTGCTCAATTTTTGTCCCTTTCTATTTCTTTTCACTAATTTTTTTCAATCCTTCTGCCTTTTTTCTTATTTTCCCCCCTTTTTCTGTAATTTTTATTCCCTTTCTTTATTTCTTTGTAACTTTTTTTCTTTTTTATTTTCTTTTCTGTTTCGTTTTTTCCCTCTCCCTTTTTTCTAGTCCTATTTTCTTTGCCCTTTTTCGAAAAAATTCCCCTTTTCACATTCGTTTTTGTTATTATTTTTTTTTGTTAAACACATTCTCCCTTTCGCTCCTAGTTTTTTTTATGTACACGACCAGACTTCACAGCCAGAATCAACTAATTTGGTACATCAGTTGTCAAAATAAAGATTCTTTTTTTTTCAATTCTCCTTCCATATTTTTTTAAAAATTGAGAATTTAAAACTTATTTCGCAAAAAACTAATCGACGTTTACTTCTTCTTTTTTTCACTATACACAATTAATTATATTACGCATATTCCGAGCGTGGTTATATTTTATTATTTTCGTCTCCGCTTTTGAAAACTACTCGTTCCAAGATTTCTGATGATATAAGTTTAGAAAAATTTCCAAAAAGTAAAAATTTCATTTAAGTATTTAGAGGGTTTTTTTTTGTATATATCGTTTGAAGCGCCTAGTTATTTTTTTTATTTTCACTCTGATTGTGGAGTTGATTTTGCTTGAAACGATACATATTATTTTATGGGTGTAGATTTGTGCGTTTAATCTCCCACGAGAGTTCGCGACGTTTGAATTGCGGAGAAAACAATAGGATCATGGAGTGGGGGGGAGGGAGGTTGAAAAGGAAAGAGTACATTCTTCCTCATTTTTTCTTTCTTTTTGTTTTGACGAAAGAGGCTTGAATATTTTTTTGTTACTCTAGTACCAAACAATTTTTTACTGTCACAATTTTTCTGTTCATTAAATTATGTATTTTTTATTCATTTTTTTTCTAGTTATTTTTCTTTTTTCTTTTCTTTATTCTTTTGCTTTTCTTGTTTCTTCTTCTCTTTCTAAATATTCATTTTTCGATTTATTTTTTCGATTATTAATTTAATTGTTATTTATTATTTATTTAGTTGTTATTTAAATTTTGTGGGATAATTTTTTCTTTTTTGGTAATAGAGTAACGAAAAAATAGCGCAATTTCTAAGTATAAAAAGAAAATGGAACAAAAGAAAATATACAAAATCTGCGTTCTTATAACCGTATTATTTTTTTTTTCTTGTAAAGAGTTACGTTTCCTTTTTTCTTTTTCACTGTATATGTATGTATATATATATATACCTCGGCAGGAGTCCAATATATAAGAGGTTGTGTTTTCAGCGGTACGATCAGCCTTTCAGAAGTCTATCGGGAGGACAGGACACGCGATCGCAAGAAACACTTCACTTCTAATCTAACTTTCGTGCTGTGGGTGCAATATGACTACCTACGAGTTTTTTTTTCTTTTTTTTTCTTTTATAATACCCCTTCTCTCGCCTCAATATAATTTTCAGTTTCGATTATCGTTTCACACTGTGTGCATTTAGCGAATATTTTTTTTTTTTACTTTTTTTTTTGGTAAACATTTTGACAGTTCTGCGGGGTGGTCGAGTCGAAATTCGGGGCATCTGTGGAAGATTTCTCTTTTTAAAAAAAATTAAAGAAAAAAATATGTTTTCTACTTGAATTGCTTTTGTTATTATTCTCTAGTGTTCAAACTTCTAAAACACGTCCATTTTTTTTTTGTAATTCTAAAAATAAAATTAAAACAATTTTGAAGAATATTACGAGAAGAATGTTCTACTAGAATTTTCTAAAGAATGTTGTAAAAGAATTAAGTGAAACTATGTGGAAGGATTTTCAAAAAATTCCGAAAAAGTCACTTTTTGAAATTTTCCGTATTTCTGGAATAATTCCGAACGTCTCGCATTTCGGGAAATTTTCTATAAAGTTTCAAGAAAGATTCCGGAAAACGGAATTTTTATCTACAAATTTCTGAAATAATTCTAAATATCTTGGTTTTCGAAAAATTTTTTCTTATATTTTCTCAGACAAATTCTGGAATTGTTTCGAAAAACATTTTTGAAAAATTGTGTGAAAATCCTTTCAAGTGAGAAAAAAATTTATTATAAAAAAATCTTCTGAACCCATTTAGAATTATTTCTGAAATTTTCCTGAAAGTTTCTAGAACAATTCAGGAAAAATTCTTAATTTCTTGATTTTGAAAATTCTCCAGAAAGTTTTCAGAAAAATTCCAGAAAAAATGGAAATTTTCAGCAAAATTTCTGGAATAATTCCAAGTTTCTTGTTTTCAACAAATTTTCCCATGAGAGAAAATATTAAAAAAAAATATTTTCAAAAAATATTTTTAACAAAGAAATTCGAAACGAATATTCTAAACTCACGTGGAAAGAATTCTAGAAAATTTCCAGAAGTTACTTTCAAAACACTTGCAGAAATAGTTTTTGGAAATTTTCCTTAAAATTTCCGTAATTATTCCAGAAGTGACTTTCGAAAAATTAAAACTAGTCGTTTTTGGAAAATTTCTAGTAAATATATTTTAGAAATATTCCAGATTTCTTGGTTTCCGGAAAATTTCCACTTTCCAAGAAAAATTATAATAACATTGTTTTGTAATTTATAAATTTCTTAATAAAACCAACATTACTTGAAAAAAACCTAGTTAGCAACTCTTTTTACGCAATAAAATCTTTTTTATCCTAAAAAAAAAATATTTTCATTCCTGTAAAAAAAGGGAAAATTCTTTCAATTTTTTCATTAAAAAAATCACATTTGCAAAATGTCTATTAAATAAAGACCATTGGGCTTTTCCAAGTTCTCACTAAGAAAAATTGATTTCCAACAAAAATTGAATTTTAGAGAATTTAGAAAAGTTCAAGGGTACTTTCTAATGAATTAACAATCCTTATCAGTCTCACTGACTTTTATTTTGCCGTTTTTCCTTAAATCACGATTTTATACTCGCTGTCTATAATTTTATATACCCATGGTATAATTTATTGTGTGTATAAAAAATCTAAGTCTTTATTTAAAAACTTGAAATACTCGAACAAATGTTTCATCATTTTTTTTTATGAGATTTTTTCGATAATGATAATTTTCTTTTCAATGATCTGCGTCTTGAATTGCGATATAGTACCCGTTTTCTTTTCATATAGAAAAATCTTTGAAAATCTGAATTAATGGAGATGCGATAAAAAGTTTCTCTAGGTTCATTTTTTTGATTGTGTCACTAGCGCCCTTGATTTTGTGCAGGGCCTTTTTTCCCCTATTTTTGGCATTTATTTATTTTTTTTTTTGCTAATAAATTTTGCCTAAAATCTCCGAATTTCGGCTCGTCCTCAATGTTTATATCACACTACATTAATATACCTAACTACCTACAATATTGTTATCCTTTTTTTTTGTCTAATATGCTTTTTTTCTCACATTTGCTCTATTGTTTATACAGTTTTTTTTTGGGTTTTTTGTTTTTTGTTTGCTTTGGTTAATAAGTACGACAACCCGGCTTTGTTTATAGTGGCCCTTTTTTTTTGAAAAAATCGCCGCGATTGAAAACTACAAAAATAACGGATCCTTTTTTTTTGGGCGCGCAATATTGTGTGTGCCACTTTTTTTGCGGAAGATCCAAGTGTGTCTCGTGTCCCGTTTAAATTGGGGATTAACTGGGTCAGGGGGCAGGGATTTCAAAAAATTTATTACCTATCGAGATTATTCTTTTTTTTTCTCGTCAAAGGACCTCGAGAATCGGGCGAACTTCTTCGGAGTCGCTTTACCACAATTTTTTTTTGTTTCGTGGTTTGACAATTCAGAAAACGATTTAAAGAAGTAATACGATGGTTCGTTTAAAGATTTTTCTTTTTTATTTGAGAATTATTTCCGCATATTTATAATTCTCGAAATTTTGTTTTTTACTCCGTATTTTGAAATATATTGCGGAGAAAAACTACAACAATTTTTCCATTAGACGAACCATTGTATTCGCTTCTTTTTTTGGAAATTATTTTAATAACTTTTTCAATAATTGTTTTTTTTATATTAATCGTGACAATGTACGATTTTTTTTTGTTTTTTTTTTTTAAGCGGGAAGTGGAACGTTTCTTCTCGATAATGCTGTGATGGTTGAAGCGCTAATAAGATTGATGTTGGTTGAGGCGATGTTAATGATTGTTGTTGATGTTGTCGTAGCTGGAGTTGTTGAAGTTATTCCTGTCGATGGGTTGTGCTTGCTTACCATCACACTAGGAGGCTAGGCGTCAGCCAGTCCTCATCCGCTAGCTGGACCGCAACCAAGAACACACTTTACCATTTGAACACACAAACGCTCGTTAAGTCTTGGTGTCCAAAATTCAAGAGGGGTGAAAAATAAACTAACCACACATTCTTTATTTTTTTTTTTTTGCTCTCTCTCACTCAGTTGCGCTTTTCTCTTTTTTTTTGTTTCTCTATATTCGTTTATGATTTTTTATTTACATATTGCAAACATTCTTCCCACTCTCACATCTAATGTGCTATTTCTAGTTTTCGTCTACCACAAAAAATAAGCGTCCTGACCTAATATCAAAAACCAAAAATATTTTTCATCGTTTCCATTTTCAGAATTTTCATTTCAATATTCAATTTGTAATTAAGGGCATGTCACATACTCTGGATTTTTATTTAGCGAAGAAACAAAATTCCGTAAATAAAAAGTCATATTCTTTTTTTGGAATTTTTTTTACAAATTGTTACACGTAAATTAAATGATACATTGTCAAATGTATCCTTTTATTTGTGTAACAATTTCTTTGACAGGAAATTGTTGGAAAAATTGACCCACTTTTGTTTATTGAAAGATTGATTATTGGTATTTTTGTAATTAACAACTATAAAATTTTTTGTAATTTAAACATTTAGTTTGTAATTTAAAAATTTAGTTTGTAATTTAAAGAATTAAATTATTAATTAAAATAATTTAAAGAAAATATTTTTAAATATAATTACTTGATTAAAGAAACTCCATATTTGATTACAAATAAGACAAAAAGGAGAAAACAGAAAAGTCTCAAAGGGTTCAGAAAAAAAATTTATCAAAAGAAAAAAATCCCTTGAAAAATGATAATTTTTCAAAGGATTTTTCAATTAATCAAAAGAAAAAAATCCCTTGAAAAATGATAATTTTTCAAAGGATTTTTTTCTTTTGATAAATTTTTTTTAAGTGAATAAAAAAAAATTTTTATAATTAAAAATACAAAAGGGAAAATAGGAAAAAGACTCAAAGGCTTCCAAAATAAAATTCATGAAAAGAAAAGAAAATTCCTCCAAAAATTATCCTTTTTATAAAAAGTTAAAATAATAAATATTAAAAAATTAAAAAGGAGAAAAAAATTAAAAGGAGAAGAGGAAAAATGCACAAAAGGTTCTAAAAGAAGTTTATCAGGAGAAAAAATAATTTTTCCAATAATTAACCCTTTTTGAAAAGAAGCAAAACTTTAAAAAATAAGGAATTAAAAATTTAAAAAATAAGGAATTCTTATTTTTAAAATTTTTGAATTATGCAAAAAGGAGAAAAAAAAGAAAAGCTCATAAGGATCCAAAATAAATTTATTAGAAGAGAAAACAATTTCTCCAAAAATTTCCCTCGTTTTTGAAAGAATAAAAAAAACCCAGAGTTCTCCATGTTCTTAATTACTTTAACTTCAGTATTTTCAAGTTTTATTTTAGTTTTAACAAATGAGCAATTTATACATTAAAGCACAGCTTTTTTCTACATTAGCGCTTTTACAACGCTATTACTTCATCATTATTTTTTTTTTTCATTTTCTTTTCTATTTTTGTTAAAATACTCTACTTTCTGGTTATTGAAATATTTAAAGCACTAGCGATATGTAGGACTCTAGAAATTTTTTTTGGTTTCCTTTTGAAAAATTAATAGAGTACGTTAGAATATTCTATTTTGAAAAAAGCAATGAAAATCTTTTTTTCACTTTACTTTCTTTTTTTTCATTTCTAGTATTGCAAAGTTTTATTTTTATTTTTCTAGATTTATTTTTCATTTATTTTTCTTCTATTTTTAATTTATTTTTCCTTTATTTTTCATTTATTTTTCTTCTATTTTTAATTTATTTTTCCTTTATTTTTCATTTAATTTTCTATTATTTTCTATTAGTTTTCATTTATTTTCGTTTTATTTCTTTAATTTTTCGACAATTTTACTTTAATTTTTCATTTATTTATCTTTAATTTTTCTTTAATTTTTCTTCAACTTTTCCTTAATTTATTTTTAATTTCTCTCTTAAATTTTCATGATTTTTCATTCATATTTCATTTATTTTTCTTTTCTTTTTTTTTTCTTTTGCAAATTATGAAAGATGGAAGGATTTTGACAATTATTATTATTATTATTTTTTTTTATAGGCAACATTTTTCGAGAAAGTTCTCGCTAATTTCATTTGTTGCATTGTCATCAGTATAAAATTTAATTGAATAGGGAAGACAATTTGATATTAAGTTTGGCCGCATTGTCGAAACTTTTGTGTTAACGTATTTATATAAAGGACAAGCGATGCTGTGTTCTGGTACTGGTAGTGATCATTGTGCCTGTGAACCGAAACACGTATATACAAAATTGAACCAATCTGATTATCGAATATCCGCTCCTGGAAGAAGGAAATTTTTCTTTTCGCCAATAATATAAATAATAAATTTTTGCGCGTTAAATTTCGCGATTTTATTCAAAAACTTTTTTAATTCAGATTTCACGAACGTGAGGTTACAATTTTTTTTATTAGTGTAAAAAAATTAATTCTATTTATTTATTTATTAAATAACGAATAAATTAATAAATAATAAAATAATAAAGAAATGGTAAATTAAATAATATATGAATAGTAAATAAATAATAAATAATAAATAAATAATAAATAGTTAATCGTGTAAATGAATAATTTACTGATAGTATTAAATAATTTTTTAATAATAAATATTATTTTTAAATTGTTCAATTCAATGAAAAGTTATTTGAATTTGTAATAAACTTTCGATTCTTGTAAACCATTGGGAAATTTTCTTTTTTAAATTCATAACACGTTTTCTGATAATTTTTGAAAATAAATGCGAAAGAAATTTTTGAGCGGATATTTGATCAGAAGAAAATTTGAATAAATGAAAACACATGTGCAATCGCTTTCCTTTACTAAATTTTGAACATGCATAATATTACAGATGAAAAAACCATTTATGGAAAAAAAGTAACGTACCATTGTGCAGTCTAAAGCGTATTTTATTTTCTTACTGAACTTTTATTTTGATTACGTTATACAAATGAATGTACGTTATATTCTTGTATTTTTACTATATGCCATTATATTTTAACTATAATTTCTGTTTCATATTTTTAGTGTCGTTGCATTTCTATACTGTTATTATACTTTTATATTCGTTATATAACTCTACTGATATTATATTTTTATTTTATATCTGTAATTATATTTGTTAATATATTTGATAATATATTTGTTATAATATTTATTATAATATCTGATAATATATTTGTTATAATATTTGTTAATATATTTGATAATATATTTGTTATAGTATTTCTAATTTTCTACTATTATATTTTTTATATTTTACTATAAAAATTTATTTATATTCTTGCTGTTTGTTTATTCTTGCTATTATTACATTTCCTGTGATTTTACACTATCGTGCTTTAATTTAAATTATATTCATTATTTTCTCACAACTGAAAATTCAGTAAGAAAATTATAAACCCTCTAGAAGCTTTTTCTTATTTATTTATTTATTATTATTATTATTTTTTTTTTTTGAAAAATAACAACCTATTTTCTGCAATAAGAATAAGACATGCAATTATGTCATAATTTTATTATGCTTAGCAAGAGAGTAGAAAAAAGCCTTAAAAACGTGACCAATGATTATTTTTAAATGCAATCATGAGAATATTCTATATATATTTTATGATGAACGATAGAAAAAAGACAAAAATATGTTACAAGTAGAATTTAATTTGCAAATTTTGTCTAGAAAAGTTTTTTTCAACAACTTTTATTTGGGATAAATGAATATTCCAGAATAATTGTAATGGAAACTTTGTGAATTTCAATTGGTAATGAAAAAAACAAAGATAGGACTAATTTTTATGGTAAAGGAAAATTTCTATATTTAATATAATTATTAATTATTTAATTTTTAAGTTCGAAACTTTAATAATTAGCCTATTCTAGTTCCTGTTAGTAGTTAGATAATTAGTAATTAGAGTAAAACTTTACTAATTACTTAACTAATTAATTCATCAAAAATTAAAAGTTAATTAAATTAAAATTTAAATTTAGTTAATTATTCAATTAATTTAAAAATTTAATTTAATTACTATATTAAAATGCCTGCCTTGGGTCGATAAACAAAATGCAAATTCAGAATTATAATAATTATATTTTCATATTATATTTCATTCAGAATAATAATTGATAAATAAAAATGTAAGCAATTTTTCATTTCTCATAGTAGTTATGAAAAAAATTAGCTCATTCTGAATTTTGAACGAGATGAATAAGAAAATGTTCTCAATCTTATTATAATCAGTTAACAAGATGCATAAAACATTTTTCATCAATACCAGAGTAAGGAAGTAATAATCATTCCGTTTGTAGTAGCCATGAATCTTGTTATTCTGATAAAAACATGTTTTTGGTTGTAAAAGTATAAATAATAAATAGCAAACAATAATATATAATCAGTAATAAAATTATAATAGTAAATAGTAGTAAATAATATTTAATAATAGTAAATAATATTTAATAATAGTAAATAATAGTAAATAATAGTAAATAGTAGTAAATAATAGTAAATAGTAGTAAATAATGGTAAATAATAGTAAATAATATTTAATAATAGTAAATGATAGTAAATAATAGTAAATAGTAGTAAATAATAGTAAATAGTAGTAAATAATGGTAAATAATAGTAAATAATATTTAATAATAGTAAATGATAGTAAATAATAGTAAATAGTAGTAAATTATATTGAATAGTAGTTAATAATAATAAGTAGTTATAAATAATAGTAGATAATAATAAATAATAGTGGATAATAATAAATAATAGTAGATAATAGTAAATAATATTGATTGATAGTAAAAAATAGTAGATAACGATAAATAATAATAGATATAATAGTAAATAATAGAGGACAATATAGTAAATAATAGTAAATGATAGAAAATAGTAATAAACAAAATAAATAATAGTAAATAATAGTAAAAAGTAGTAAATAAAAGTACATTCTAGTGTAAGATAGAAATTAATAACAAATAATGGTAAATAATAGTAATGTAAACAAAAGTAATTAATAGTAAATATAAATAGTAAATAATAGTAAACAATAGTATAAAGTACTAATTAGTATTTCAATAGTAAATAATATTGAAAAAATAACTATTAATATAGTAAACACTGGTATTAAATATTATAGTTTTAAAAAAATTATACTTTAACAATAAATAATAGAAAATTGCAAATAATATTGCAAATAGTAATATAAAAATAATTAAAAAACATATATAAAATACTAGTAAATAGTTCAATAGTAGATGAATAATATTTTTATTAATATAATACTTATAATTTAAATATGTAAATTAATTATTAATTTCCTTGTTATACTTATCAAGTGAATGAAATTCAATTAAATAAAAACCGAAAAATAATAATTATTTTATTTTTATTTCCAAATTTGAAAAAATAAATGTAAAACGAATGAAAGAAAATGAATTAAAATTATTTTTAAAAATGTTTTTTTTTTTGATAAATGTATCCATAAGAGAAATATGGTAAGAGTGTTTCAAATAACAAGTGACAATAAGACAAGCAGAGTAAAAGCATGCATTCGGGAGAATATAAGCGTATAATTAGAGAGACAATGTTTACCTGGAATTGTTGCATGGGATAGGCCATCATTTGCGCTGGAGGTGGGGGTGGTGGTGGTGCCGCTTGAACTCCAGGTGGTGCTGTCACCGTCGTGGCGTGATGAGGCGGAAGTTGAGGTCCACCAGGTAAACCCTGTCCCCAACCAGCAGCCGTTCCCGCTGCATGAACTCCCATTCCCATTCTGTTTTAGAATTTCCAGAAAACAGGTGAGAAAATTGCAAAGGAATTTTATGACTCACATTCTCTTATATATATACAGAAACTCGACAATAAAAGCTCTATATATACACGCACATCTCATCATACTCGCTCGGGCTGGGTTAATTACTAAATGTGGATTATGTGTATAACCGCTCGCTATTTCTATTATTCTCGAAATTACTTAATTTTCAACGAGAAATTATAATATCTTTTTTTTCATATATCGTTTCTAGGTGGAAATTTATATTTATTTCCATTTTTAATTATAGTCTGACTAATATTTGTTTTTACTATTTAATTAACTAAATTAAAACCAAATTATTTGACTGAACTTTGATTTTACTCTTGATAATCAAATTGTAAATATTTCAACTCTGTTGTGTGACTAAAATTTGCTTTTTACAGTTTTTACCACTTAGTTAACTAAATTAAACGCAACTTGAAAGACAGAAGTCTGACTAAACTCTGAATTTTCTACTGATACTCAAATTTAAATTATACAAAACAGTTTGAGTGATTAAAATCATTCTTTATTTTGTTAAGAGAACTGAAATGCAAATTAAATGTTGTGTCTGACTAAACTTTGATTTTTCTACTGAAACACAAATTGTGGTTCGTCAAATTCTGTTGTCTGACTTAAATTTTCTGCTACTACTTTATCAAATAAAGTAAACGGGAATTAATTGCTTTGTCTGACTAGAATTCGGCTTTACTACTGAGATTCAAGTTGTAAATATCTGAAACTCGTTGTCTGACTAAAATTTGTTTCTACTACTTATTTGACTTTATAATTAAACGTAAATTAAATAGCATGTCTGACTAAACCTTTATTTTACTACTGATTCTGGATAATTATTTAAATAGTTATGTCTGACTAAAATTGTTGTCTACTACTTATTTAACAAAATAAGTCTCAGACTGAATATTTTGTCCAACTAAATCTTGATTTTACTCTTGGCACTTAAATTATAATTATTTCAGTTCTATTGTCTCACTAAAATGGTTTCTACTAAATTTTAGTGATTTTTAATTAGAAAGATTTTAAATTCGTAAAATAATATTTTTTAACTTTATATTATGGTGTAATTAAATTTTACATTTGATTTCTACGACAAATTTTAGGCAAAAATTGTATATATCATTTTAAATATATATAATTCATCTAACTTAGTAACAGTGCTCGAACCAGTGAAAGTATTTAAAAATACGGACTTTACGGAAAAAATGAAAAATTACGGACCAATTACTGACAAAAATATAACCAATCCGAGTCAAATAAGAAAACATTTTCCTTAAAATTATAAATTAAATTTTTTCATAACTATAAAACATGACGATATTTTCTTCATGTTTTATAATAATTAAAGATAGCCCACTGATAAAATCATTATTTTATATTATATAAGAATTTTGTACTTCTTCAAAATTGTTTTCATCATTAGAATTCAATTATTATTTTTACAATTTTTCGCAAAAATTTTTCTTTAAGTCAATTAATTTCCAAAAAAGTTCTTCTACAATTTTTAAAATCCATTTATTTATAATATTCAATTTTACAAATTTGAATTATTTGTAAATTCTTCAATTAAATATATATTAGAAAATAAAAAATTCAAATAGTATACAAAAATTCAATTACATTTTTAAAAACAAATTAATTTCAAAATTAAATTATTTCTAAAAATTCACGCTATATTGCTTTTAATATTCAATTATTATCTATAAAATTTTAACTGAAATTCGTTTTTAAATTAATTTTTATTAGAAAATTCTATTAAAATTTAATTATTTAAATAAAAATATAAATAATTTAATAAACAATTAAAAGTTTCTTAAAATTCAAAATTCTTATAACGAATTTCTATAATAATTTCTCTAAAATTAAATTTTTTTTAGTGTGAACTAAAATTTTTCTATAAATCCATTATTTTTATTATGTTTTGAAATAGTTTTCTAAGAATGTTCAAATTCATTTGTTTTTAGCTGAAATTCATTTCAAAATCAATTTTTATTACAAAATTCTACTAGAATTCAATTATTTAAATACAAATAATAATTTATTGTATATTTGAATATTTCTTAAAATTGAATTTTCATAAAGAATTTTATCTATAAATTTTTAAATGACTGAATTCTTTTGACGAATTTTAATAAAATTTTTAAGAATTTTTTCGAGGAATTCGATTAAAATTTTATTGAAAATAATTGAAATTTTGCGATGAGTTTAACTATTTATGAAAATAATTAAATTCCTAAAAAGATTTTATTATTTAGAAAAATAATTAAATTCATGTTAAATACTATATTATTTTTAAAAATAATTGAATTATATTCCAAAGAAATTTATAGAAAATTTTTAAATAATTGAATTTCTGTGAAATTTTTATTATTTTATAAAAATAATTAAATGTTTGCGTAGAATTATATTTTAATTTTTTTAAATAATTAAATTCTTTTGGAAAATTTTATTAATTGGTATAATAGATATTAAAAATAATTGAATAGAAATAATTTTTTTGAATGTAATTGAAATTTTATGAAGAATTTTAATATATTTTTTGAAAATAATTGAATTTCGAATAAGAATTTTATTATTTCTATAGATAATTGAAATTTTGACGAGAATTTTTAAAAATTTTTGAACATAATTGAATTTTTGCAAAGAATAATTTTATTACTTTTGAAAATAATTGAATTTCTGTAATAATTTGTAACTTATCCAAAATTCTCCAAATTATATTGTACAATTTACAAACTTTTCGTCCTTTCCTAATCAAATTACGGACCTTTTCTCAAAAAAACTGACTTTTATGTATTTGAAACAATTTTACGGACCTTTACGGGATTTACGGACCAAGTTCGAGCCCTGTAGTAACTATATAATAATATAATGTTTAATAAATTATTTCACGAAATTCATATTCTTTCTTAATAAAAATCATTAAAATTTAGTAGAATTCTAAAGAACTTTTTCAGCTGAGTAGAATAACAAATACATTCTTTAAAAAATATTGCTTTCAAGCACTTTAAAATATCGATAATATAAAAACCAACAAAAAGTCCACAGTAAAAAGAAAATCTTATTTTAAGGCACGAAAGCTGCCTTAAATTAAGATGCAACATTTTTAAGACAGTCAATGTTGAATTTACGCACGTTTTTCGTATTCTTTAACATTATAGCAGACAGTGTTGAATTTAAGGCAGCTCTTAAATTAAGATTTACTTTTTACTGTGTCTGTTTGAAAATCACTATATTATCAAGAACATACCTAATTTATAACGCTTTGTCTGACAAATACTATCTTTTGCTACTAACATCAAAACTAAAAAGTTTTTTCAATAAAATATCTGTTTTATATTTACCAAAAATAACAAAAGTAAATAAAACGAATTTTTCATGAATATTTATGTATGAGAAATTTTCAATTTTTTTTTGAACTTACCCTAAATACTGGGTTTGTTGATAACCCGGAAATTGGCCATATGTGTAACCCTGCATTCCTTGAAGGAATCCGCCAGCTTGCATCTGCGTTGCTGTCGTTGGATAAGATTGTGGAGGGTACCAATATCCGAGTTGACCAGCACCACCAACACCACCAACGCCACCGACCCCTGTGACGCCCGCTGCTGCTGCAGCAGCTGCAGCTGCCGCTGCATAGTATGGGTACGTCGCCGAAGACAGAGCCTGCAAAAAAAACATTTTAATTTCATTTTTTTATTTACATTAATTACTTTTAATAATTTAATTATTCTTAATGTTGTTATTGATGTTCTTAATGTTGTTATTGATATTATTACTATTGTTTATTAATACTGTTTATTTTATTATTATTGTTACCCGTGTAGAAATCACCATGCTATGCCTAAAATGATTATTGGCCCTAGCTTGGACCTAACTTGGCAACCCCTTTTTATATATCCTAGGCTGGTCCTAACTTGGTACTAGCTAGGAGATCCAGTTATGACTTAGAAAAATTTTTAGGAAAATGAAGTGTCAAAATTGATACATGAAAAACATGTAAAAATTGATAAATATTCTCAATTAATATTTATAAAATTAATTGATAATCATATTTGTTTAAACAATTTATTGTTTGACATAAATCAGAAAATTATACAAATACTATAAAATAAAGTTAATTTATTAATTTATTAATTCAGCAATTGTTTAAACAAATAATTTTTATTTACTAACTTTTTACACAATCAACCTAGAAACTAGCAGTTTTTTCTAATTTTGCAATAAGGGGCTGTCCATAAATTACGTAACACGTTTAGGGGGGAGGGGGGGTTCGAGAAAATGTTATCATATGTTACATGGGAGGGGGGGGGGTCAATCATCATTGTTACGTAATATTTATAAGGAACTTAATCTCTTTATAATGGATAAATTTTTGAAAAGCTGTCCCTTGCCGCCACTTCAATATAAGTAAAAATCGAATCATTTCGCGAACCGATTCTTGGGAATAATATAGGTACAATTTTTATTGTTAAAAAATCAATGTTATATTTTTGGTTGTTCAGTATGATTAATAAAATTATTCCTCTAAATGTTTTTTATATTTAACTTAATTTTGTATTGCTATTGTACGATATAAATACTAAAAATAGCAGTAATAAACAAATTTGTTTCGAAAAACGTTAGTAAAAAAATATTTTTAAAAATTACGTAACATTGATAAGGAGGGGGGGGGTGTAAAACGATTTTGTTACAACTTGTTACATAGGGGGAGGGGGGGTTCAAAATTTCACTAAAAACGTGTTACGTAATTTATGGACGGTCCCTAAGTAAATACTCAGATTAGTTAATTGCAAAATTTTAAAAGACTACAAGTGTCTAGACGCTTTATTGTCTTAAGAATTAATAAATAACAACAATTTTTTGTTTAAACAAATGCTGAATTGTTAAAATTATAAATTATCTTCATATTTCACTACTCAAGTGTAATAATCGCGAAGTTAGATAAAAACTGCAAATTTTTAAGTAATTTGTTACAAAAGTTAATATAACAGCAAAATTTATTTATTTATTTAAACAGATACAGACTGCAATATAATTATCATTAGTAAAATATATTTCTAATTTCGTTCGCTGATTTTCAGTTTCGTTTAAGTTGGTGCTAAACACTAAGAGATATTGCAATTCGAATGTGGGCTGACCCACCCAGGTCCAACCCAGGACCTACCTGGGGTTCCTAGTTTCATTAGTAAAAATTTCTAAGTCCAAGTCTAAAAAATTTTTTGCAACAAAAAATTAATGCTTAAAATGATTTAGAATAATGAAAAACGTGTTTTTAACATAAATTTTTTTGACATTTTTTTAAAAAGTGGATCACCCGCTTAATTAATTAGGAAAAATTTCCAAGTCCAAAAGACGAATATTTTTTTAGACCAAGAAATTAATGTTGAAAATGATTGAGAACAATGAAAAACCTGTTTTTAACGAAAATGTACAGATATTTTTTTTCTTGATATAATATAAAAATATTAATTTTTGAATTTTTATATTTGGATATTATTTTATTATTATTGTTGTTGTTAAACTATTTTTTTATTTATTATCGTGTATTAGTGTCAATAATTACTATATTGAATCATCAAAAGCAAGTTCACAAGTCACTGACAATAAAAATTTTGATCTCAACTAGTTTCATTAGCATAGTGGTTAGGGCGTTAGTCTCGTAGTCCGTAGGTCGTAGGTTCGATTCCCGCGTGCGTTAGATTTTATTTACTTCGTGGGTTTGCGTTTATTCCGATTTTTCTGCGTTGTTTTCGTATAAGTAAGCAATTTAATGATTATATATACTGTAAAATAATTTAATTAACAAGTTTCTAATTTTTTTTATAATTTTTAATGTATATATTAGAGGAATATATATTAATCTCTACATATACTAACATTATTTATGAATTCGCTTTTGGTCATCACTTAATTAAAAAAAATTATAATTAATTAAAACTAATACTTATTATTAATAATTTAGGTTATTTCTTTTAACAAATATTATTAACTAATTAAAATTATAATGAAATAGAAAATACTGTCTGAGATGGTCCTTTCTAGGTCCTAAAATGGACCCATAAACTGGTCCTAACTAGGCTCCCAAGTTAGGACCAGACTAGAATCGCATCACCACCCATTGTTGGTCCAACCTACACTGCCAACCTAGGACCAAGCTATTAACAGGGCAAAATAGGTAGGACCTGGCTAGGACCAATTTTCATTTTCCACACGGGTATTATTACTGTTGTTATTTTTTATATTGTTTTTTTAGTAATTTAATTGTTTTTTTTTACTGCTATTGTTTCACTATTTACTGCGGTCCTTTGTGTAAAATTATTATCATTATTATTTACTGTCTTAAACATTATTATTTTCAAAAACTTTCACTAAGTTAACACAAAAAAAAAATGATCCAAATATGTCAAATAATTTCTATCTCAAACTTAACGTAAGCTGACGGAAACTTCTCTGACACAAGAGAGTTAATACCTAAAGATCAGATTGACCCAAGTCAAAGTTAGCTAAAGGCTAAAGACTTGAACATATTCAGTTATCACTTTGGTTATCTTATAGTTGCTTATCAAAGCGTTAGTAACAATAATCGGAAATAATCCGGGAACACTAATTGCTAAACTCCATTACCGGCTGTCTCAACTTCTTTTTACCTTCAAGTTTAGAGATTGAAAAAGAAAATTGAAAGAAAGTTTAGAGCTAAAAATTACTAGTAATTTTACAATTTTTAAACTTTAAAGTTTAAAGTTTTAAAGTTTAAATTACTTTATTAAAGTAATTTTTCATTAGTAAAATTTGCAGTAAATAGCAATTTCGATCTTATTAAAATTTTTCTAAAATACCATTTTCAATGAAGCGCAATAATCGAAATTATCAACAAATTTCAAGCTTCAATTCCCACTCGCTTTGTCTCTAATATTTGTGTAATTGTTACTTAATGTAAATAACGTTAATAATTTTCACTATTTGCTCGTAGGAAACAATTATATTGACAAAGTACGATTTCAGTGGTACAATTCTGTTTAAAGTCAGACACAGTAAATAAAAAGAATTATGATAATAAAATACCAATAAATAAAAGAAATAGCAAAAAAAAAAGAATAATTAATATTAAAACATAAAAACTAATATTATAAATAATATTCATTGCTAATAATAACAAGAAGAAATATAATTACATTAGAGAAGGGAAAATATGCGCAGTAACTATAGTTTGAGTAGTATAGGTCAATATAAACATTGTATATAGATATATAGAGAGAAAGTGATACACTGAGTGCTGGTCAAATTACATCAAGTGAATTACTGACTATAAAATTGTCTCGGTATATGAAATTGAGGCAAATTAATTTGATGACAAAAGTTACCATTGTCAAACGACCACGTAAGTGGTACAAATCAATAGGTAGTCAGACACAATATAGCATAATGTTCCAAGTACCGTTCAAGCATATCAAATACACGCAGTAATGTATTAACATTCGAGCTGTTTGTTCGACAAAATCATCATTTGCAAATATTCAAGTAGTACGAATCAATATATTTCTATATATATGTGTGTATGTTTATATGTGAATAAAACCATGCTCGAGCAATTTTATTTCAACATATAAATATAGAAGAGAGCCAATTCAATTTCAATGCATTATCTGAATTTGAAATTATTTTTCAATTTGTAAAATAAAAATAATAATTTTTTAATTTTGTATTAAATGGATATAAATTGGTAAATTTCTGAGTGTCGAATTTTTTTCTCTTTTAATTTTTCTCTCTTATTTTAAAAGTCGAAATAGTTTTTTTTGATTTGTAAACTAATTATTAGGGATTATAAACGTTAAAAATATTATGACTTTAAACTTAATGGTTGAATGTAGTAAGTATTAACTACTAGTACTCAGTTTATAATTCAAAATCGTTTTGGCTGACTAAAACTTTATGCTACTACTTATTGAGAACAAACATTAAAAGCAAATGAAATAATCTGTCTGACTAAAAGTAGATTTTACTACTGATACTCAAATTATAGTTACTTAAATAGTTCTGTCTGACTAAAACTTGTTCTTACTACTTACTGAATTTAACTATTTTCAAAAGTAATAAAATCCTTAGTAGTAATTCAATTCATTTCAAAATTTTTTAAAAACTCTTGTCAAAATTTCAATTGTCTTTATAAATAATAAAATTTTTCTCCGAAATTCAATTATTTTCAAAAATTTTATTAAAATTCTTGGCAAAATTTAAATTATTTTTATAAAATAATAAAAATTTCACAGAAATTCAATTATTTTTCTAAATAATAACATTTTTACAGGGATTCAATTATTTTTCTAAATAATAAAATTCTTTTTAGGAATTTAATTATTTTCATAAATAGTAAAACTCATAGCAGAATTTCCCCTATTTTTAATAAAATTTTAATCGAATTCTTCGATAAATGTAATTATTATAAAATTTTTTATTAAAATTCGTCAAACGAATCCAATTATTTAAAAATTTGCTGATAAAATTCTGTATGAGAATTCAATTTTAAAAAACATTCAAATATACAATAAATTATTTTTTGTATTTTAAATTTTAATACATTAATTCTAGTAAAATTTTATAATAAAAATTGTTTAAAAAAAAAATTTTAGTTAAAAACAAATGAATTTGAAAATTCTAAAAAAAAT